ATCTTGATCTAACCTAAATGGTTATAGCAGAGTATATCCTTAATAATGCTATTAGCTCTCAGTTCCTCGTGCCTGTGGTTTTCAATACTATTATTCAGTTAAAACGAACTATTCTAAAGTGCTAACGACCTACAAGAACTTGGTGCTATAATGGTATATCGTAGCTTCTTGTAATGCCTCGTTACGCGAGATCACACGGAACGTCCAACAGGATTTTATTATAATATTATTCTACACAAAATCCATAAATACGAGATAAATATTTGCTTTACAATGTTATAAAATGAATTCATAGATGAGGCTATATTTTACTTTTATTTTAAACTAACCGTCACTCGCCAGCTTTGCGGGGCGTACGTAAATGTTTCTTTTGGTCTTCAGAGACCTTAATATATATTTAGGGTTATCGCTTATGATTTAAGAATTTAGATTAAATAAAAAAAAACAAATTAATAAATAAAAGTGTAGTCTTTTGTTTTATATTGTCGGCAAAACAGAAAAAGTATTTATGAAAGTAAATTAAAAAAAATGGTGAAGATTTTTATGCGATGGCGTGGCAAAGGAAAAATCGTTTTCATTTCACATATACCTATAATAATACATTTTGATCTTAATATAGTACGGTATTATGTGTTCTCGTGCAAGACAAATAATTTAATCCATTATAAGCTATTGAAGTTATTTTGCTTAGGATTTACAGACTTGTTATATCACTGTCCTAGGAATGAATCTAGAAAACAATTGTATTCGTATTCAGCCCTTTTTAACGTCCCACTGCTGGGCACGGGCTTCTCTTCAATACGAGGGGGATCAGGCCATAGTCCACCACGCTGGCCAAGTGCGGGTTGGCGGACTTCACATGTCTTTCGAAAACTTGCTAAGTTCTCTAAGACATGCAGGTTTCCTCACGATGTTTTCCTTCACCGTTAAGACAAGTGGTAATCATGTTGGAAATGATTCGCACATGAAAATATTAGAGGTGCGAGACCCGGGATTTGAACTCGCTTCACTTGGTTTCCCAAGCGAGCGCGTTACCACTGGGCTACCACTGCCTATAATATAGAAAACAATATTGGCAACTAATTGAATATTCTATAACTATTGAATAAGAACCATCGAAGAAGTGTGTATATACGTTACCTATATATACGTTCTGATTTCTCACAAATGATAACAATATGAAATTTGAATAGCAAATAGAAAATTGTAGGATATGAGAAGCAAACTAGCGCTATACATTTTTGTTAAATAATTCTTCAAGGTGTTTTGTAAAGAAGCAAGCATGTGTTCTATCTAACGTTGATCCTTCAAGAGCCGTCCGGTCGCATCACCGTTAGGCAGATAGCAATCAGCAAAGATTATGCACCGCAACGCCGCGGGATATGCGCTCCTTAGTAGTGTTTATGACTATCCATGGATAAACATAAGCGCTTCATAACTAAGCACGCCTAGCAATTGAAATACTTAGCATAGGTTTGTTTATTTATGGTGTTGCGTGTGGGACTTAGAAGCGGAAGATTTTGAATAATATAATTTCATTGTAGGTATTCAGCCCTTTTTTAACGTTCCACTGCTGGGCACGGGCTTCCCTTCAACACGAGGGGGATCATAGATATAGTCCATCACACTGGCCAAGAGCGGGTTGGTGAACTTTACACGACTTTAGAAAATTTGGCTAGGTACTTTCAGACATGATGGTTGATGGTTTTCTCACGATGTTTCCCTTCACCATAAGGCAAGTCGTAATCATGTTGGAAAATGATTCGCACGTGAAAATATCAGAGGTGCGAGACCTGGGCTTTGAACCTCCTTCAATCAGTTCCCTAAGCGAGCGCGTTACCACTGGACTAAAAAACTATCCATCTTAAGAGAGCTAATCACTCTCCTATTATAAACTCGAAAGCCTGTGAATTAGTGTTGTCATTTCTTTACTCTGATAAGGGTCAATGCATGGAGTAAAACTTGGGTTGGAGATGGCTTATATCATGACATAAAAAAGGATTTTTATCATCATCCCTTCCAAGTTAGCCCAGTAAAGGCTGATAACTTGGTTTATTAGTTAGTAACTAAATAAGTGTATAATTAATCTTTAACTCTATTATTCTATACAAATATTTAAAGAGGCAAAGTTTGTATCTTTGTTTGTTTTAACGCGCTAAGCTCAGGAACTGCTAATCCGATGTGAAAAATTCTTTTTGCTTTAGTATCCCGTTTATTGAGGAAGGCTATAAGCTATATATGTCATCCCAGAAAAATGTACGGTTTCCGTGGGATAGATTTGTTTTTAACCCGAAGCGAAGGGAGGATGAGTCCGCTAGTATTACATATTATATTAGAACTAGCACTGCCCGCGGCTCCGCCCGCGCTCAGATGACCAAAAACAAATTCTTAAGTTTTACATATTAGTATACTCTTACATTGCAGTTTTTGTATTTTTTCTCTTAAATGAGATATTTTCCCGCGGTAAAAAGTATCCTATATGTTGACCCGGATAACCAGCTACCATCATACCAAATCTCGTCAAAGTCCCTCCAGTGGTTTTTCCGTGATGCGGTAACAGACAGACAGACAAAAATTCTAAAAACTATAGATCTGGCCTCTGTATCGATAATAATGTCTATTTCAATAAGATTTTCCAAAAAATATTTAATGTACAAATTCGGCTTAGTTACAATTTTATTATATGTATACATAATCTATACATTGAAATATTGTAGCTGTAAAGTATTCTAATTTTGAGTTTTGGTTATGCTCAATCACGACTATCATGACAAGTTTACCAAGTCAGCACGCTGTGTGAGTCATCAATGTCAAGTTGGGTTCAGCCATCGATTTCATAAGAGACATGTACAATATAATATGTGTAATTGATTTTATACTTATGTATAAAGTACAAGAATCTTAAAGTGCATAATTAAATAACAAAAAATAAAAACCGACTTCCAGGCACTAAAATGTAAAAAATAACTAAACGGAGGTTTTCATTTAGAATATGTAGAATTGTAGAGACCTAATCAGATATTTTCGAAGTCGGTGCCAGCCGATGCAAAGCAAATCTAATATATTTCGATACATAAAATACATATTTACCTATTAGATATTCATATCTTAAAATAAAATAAAATATCTTATAATAAAAAAAAAGATTCCGACTAATTGATAACCTCCTCCTTTTTGGAAGTCGGTTAAAAATAAAGATTAAAGAAATATAAATTATTGTTATAAACTTGAAAACCTACAATTATTAATGTAAATATTAAAATTATGGATGCTAATCGAGGACGACTTTAATTAACCTACATTTTTGAATTTAAATTACAATTAGAAATATTTCACTACGACAAAATGTTTCACGATACTCCATTATATATTAATGACAATTTCTTTAATAAAACAACTTAAGACTTTTGTTATTGTTTGGCGACTTCCAAAAAGGAGTTCTATTTTTACTTAGGTACCTACTTTTAGTGTATTGAAATAGAGAAGGCACTGTGTAATGGAACGCATTTTAATAGATCATTATCAATCATTCCAATAGATCCATTTTTAACAATAAAATTGCAATCGATCTTTTAGGAAATGATGACACTGTTCTTATATAAACTAAATATAATTAAAATAATAATAAATATAATATCACAAATTAGACTATGTGACCATTGTTATATAATACATTTTACTACTTATTTTTCTACCGTACACCTGTTTTTCATACTAAACTTCTTCATTTCAGGCTATGGCTATTTATAAAATAAATTATTTTAGCTGACTAAAAAAAATATCCATCCTGATCAAAACAGGTTTTAAGCCTAAATTTAAAAGCTTGCGGTTATTTTTTTGTAACTTTAAATCAAGGAGATGAAACACTGTTATAGAGATAGGTGGGTCCGTTTCGATCACAAATACTGACAACCGCTAACAACACGTCGCTTTTACGAATAAATGAAAAGTCATCGCGAGCTATTGCCTTACTTATCTACTTGTGTATGACGGGCAAATCTACGTCCAGTAATTACAGATCTGAATGACTGTCTACTGAACGTAGACAATAAGCATCTATTGCTTATAAAAACAGTATCAAGTGCACAATTGTCTTAAATGTCGTTTACCTCTTTCTCGTGACTACGGTCGTGATAATAATAATTGAAGTCCGCAATAGACTATTAGTAGTGCCAAATTTATTTACCTAAGTTAAAGGTATGGAAATGAAAAAAGTAGGGTTGGAATTAAAATATGGGGGTGGGGAAAAAATATTAAATTATAAACAAACATGACTTTAATTATTTTATAAAAATAAACATTTAATATCGTAGTCTGATAATTTTTGAGTGATTAACAATAAATTAAATGTTATTGTATTGATATTTATATTAAAAGAATAAAGCAATTAAATTATTTAAAAACTAGCGACTCACCCTCGCTTCGCTTGGGTCCGTTCCTGCCTTGCTCCCCAATACAAACTTTCATCCTCCTTTTTACTCCCTTTTAGGGTGATTTCCGGGATAAAAAGTACCTATCCTATGTCCTTCCCAGGGTCTCAAACTATCATCTTACCAAATTTCATCTAAATCCGTTCTGAAGATCCAGAGATTACCCCCTACAACCTCACAAAATGTACCTCTTTATAATATTAATATACATAAGAGAAATAGATAATATCAAGATGTCCTAACCAAATGCAGGGCACGGGCAAGTTAACACTCGAAACGTATTATCGAGTGTATTATTATTTATTAACCACGACTAATGATGACAATGCTCCATCACGATTTAGTCATTTTATGTTATTTTTTGCCTGAACTTCTGTCTGATTTTACGGCATTAAATTCCACTATGTATTTAAGGGTCTCAAACTATCTTCTTACCAAATTTCATCTAAATCGGTTCCGTAGATTTAGAGATTACCCCCTACAACGTCACAAACTCACAAATTTTACCTCTATAAAATATTTGTATAGATGGAATTAAATATATTTTTTTAATTAATAAATATTTTACAGGGTCTAGAAATCGTCAATCCGCAAGCGGCTGAAACGCGAGTGAACGAAGCAAACGCGAAATATTTTTCGAATACGTCTGGTTTCTTATCAGTGGGCAAAACGACGACATAGTGAGTGGCGGCCCGCGGCAGTATTGTAGCGCCTTGCGGTTGCCAACACGTGCACTGTTGCATTACTAAATTAAATGTATGATTGAAGATATGAAATAAATAAAACTACTTAATAATTTTATACAAACTTTTGTTTTATTTTCAATAGTTTCAGCTCAGTTCTCAAACAGCCAAGTTCTATAATTGAGTTCAGAGATTGTAGGTAAATACTTGAACAATTTGCTTTTGCAAAAAAAAGATATATTTATCACTATATTTCGCATTAAATTAAGTAAGTCGGCACAGTGACCGCCCGAGTGTTACTCCATAGTCCATAGTAAAGAAATATACACGATAAAAGCTGTACATATTATGTATGTCAATATAAACTCGATAATGTGTCGAAATATTCCACATTAGTAGCAACCTTGTAATTTACTTAAATGTTCTAACGTATTAAAATAGCCATAGTTTTTGAAGCTCCAAGAAAGGTTGAATAATACTTTTTGGTGATGTCTTTATATGGATTGAATACCTTGATCCGCTCAAAGTTGAATGCTCTTGGATATTTAAAGGCAAATTCCCTTCGAAACAAATGCTTGATCAACTAAGTTTTGCTATTTCATAAAACGTGTTATTTTTGATGAATATTATATACAAATCACTAGAATTTTGAGATAAAATTGTTTAAAATACTTGTAATGACTTATCTTTTATTGATTATATTCTCAGAACTAATGTGTAGTTAACGGCCGACGATCGTGTTAATTTGTCTCGAGTGTAAGCCTCAACGAGAAACACGAGCTCGCATGCCCTGTTTACCACGTGCGTTCGCTAATTTATAAGTGCTGCTAGTTAGTTTTGCACAAAACTAACAAAAAAAAATTCTCTAATAAAAATAGATATCAGTATCAATAGAAGAACTAATTTTGGTTTATATATCATACGTGCGTTAACTTTCTTTTTGGTTTTTATGGCTCAAAAATATTTCTATACGATGGTCCAGCATCTGTAATTCTTAGTGTTACGCAATGAATAATATACATAATATATTTAGTTTTGGAATATCCTAATAAAATCAAAAGATAATATTTAAATAGAAATAATTTACAAAAATAAAAGTTAAAGTGAAAAGTACTTAAGAGGTAAAAACAATATTGCGTTGAACATTTTCTTATTAAATTTCGTGCTTAAATCTTCATTCATAATATTTTTTGCGAGGCATGTTGATTCTTGAACCAAATTGTATTGTTATATAAACGCTGTCTTCTTTTTAATGGACTGACTCACAAATACCTACACGTTTTTTTACTTAAATCGGGCGCATGCAATCTAATAATGTGGTACTCAATGTCTTACCTAATATTTATAAAATAAAAAGAAAATATAAAAAACCGACGACTAAGTATATGTGTTTACTGTTGAAATAGTACTGCCCACTCTGATTCCATATAGAGCAAACAATCTACAACTAACAAGGCACTTCACATACTGTCATCATCAGTGACATGTCACAAGGCTCTGTAATTAATTGGTCATAATCTAAGTATATGTAAAGAGACTTCAGCGTGAATATCTCTTTTTTAACCAGTTAATACCTTATCTATACCGTATCTTCTTTATTCTACACGACATTGGCTAAGTAATCTGTGTCCAACTGGCACGGTTAAAAGCCAAATAACAAAGAATTGGAGTGAATTCAGATGTACTTAATTCCTGTGTCCTCTATCATAATTAAGGGAATCCAACTCTATCACCTTCGATAGGTGAAACTGGCATGAGTAAATTCACATGCTAAAAATAAAGGTTCTCTCTGACAAGTAGGTATTTAATTATATAAAAAAGTGCTAAAATACGTGACTGGCGCTGTTTATTAGGTACAAATTTTTAGATTTTGCTTTGTAATTAACACCATCTCGATTTCTTGTAGTTGTCCATCACAATAATGCGGACTTACAAGAGGGCTTTTTGTCGTTTCATACTATTAACATTTAACGTTAATGGTTTCGACGGCTCATAGTAACATTTTAAAAGTTGGTCGAATATTACTCGTAAACTTGTAAAGCCTGCTTAACTGTGATAGTTTTCCTTTCAACTTCTCAATATATACTATTACCGTCATATGTTTCACGTATCCAAACCATTTAGCTGACATGGACGACAGCCGACACTTCACTCTAATAAAAATTAGCACTTTAAAGCTTAATATTTCACAAACGGATCCTCCCCTAATCGAAAAATTATTTTCACAAGCCACAATATTTTTAAAAGACCTATCCACCAACACACCACGGGGTTGACGAGGAAAAATATCCCCACTTTACGTATAGAGGTATCCTAGAATATTTTTTTTCAGATTTTATTTTATCGATTTGTCGTGACTAATATATATTCATGACAAATTACAGCTTTCTAGCACTTAAGAGTCTCTGAGCTAAGCTGCGAACAGACGGACGGACGGACATGGCGAAACTATAAGCGTTTCCTGTTGACTACGGAGCCCTAAAAACGAGGAGGTGTGTCATAATCCACAATGTTACTTTTTTTAATCTCTGTAATCTAGATTCTAGATTATCATTTTAAGTACTTAACTGGTATTTGCAAATGTATATAATATCCACTGTAGTGTTACGCATTGCATTACGTTTAACGCGGGTAACTATCTGTGCTACTATAGTTCAAGGACGCCGCGTATAACTTAAACTGCACATTAAAATATAATTATAACACGATTATACCTTTACTTTCACAACTTTTACTGTCAGCACCACGTAACCACGAGATGTGAATAATTTAATTATGAACCATTAGTAAATATTTGAGAACTAAAATTTTAAAAAATACGTACTTAGATGGTAAGGTAGATAAGATGTAGTGTAAAAGGTTTTAAATTTTTATGAGTAAATAACGCGCTCACGCTTTCTGCTTTGGCAACCGCTAAAGCAACGACTTGGCAATTAATGCCATGCTTTATGCGAAATAAAATTGAGTAAGCATTTACATGAATGCACATTCGATGAACAAAATGCTTCAATTTCTAACATGGGTACTATACAACTTATTTAGTTAAAAAATTAATATACGATTAAAAGGACAAGATTTTCTTCACTGTATGAAAAAAAGTTTAAATTATTTAAGTAACTAACAACATAAGCTCCGCGTTCGTGTTGTTGCTACTTAGCCTTTCCGCATTCTATAAAAAAAAACTCAATATTAGTAAATACAGAAAGAATGCCAATGTTAACATAATAATTAAAAGACGTAATAAAATTATTGATATGGTAGATTTGCATGTAAAAATTGCGTGGGTGAATTAGCGTTGTATTGTCAGCCACTTTAAACGACCATAAAACGTGCCGATACAAGGATGACTTTTGAATAAATAAAATAAGTTTGAGTACGCATGGAAACGAATTTTACATATCACGCGGAAACTTAGTATATGTAGTCACATTACGCGATCCGTCAACTTGATAAGGCACACCCTTAAAGAACATTAACGGTTCATTGAAATCGAAAGAACGCACGGTGAATGCTTCGCTGAGAGTCTGAGGAACAGGTTTAGAGCGACATCCCGAGTGGCCCGCGAGGTTGCCACTTGCCGCGCAGTGCTCCGTCGGCCGCTAACGCATATGCGCGCGCGCATACTGGGGATTAACGTGCGCGAACCGCGAACTTGTATTACCACCTTATGACATATGATTTAACTTTACAGTGATATAAACAATATTTCGTAACAATTGACGAGAAGTGCCTGGTGTTTGTGCAATATAGTATGTTCCAGTGGTCTTGTAACAACTAGCCATAGTCATGGCGAGCTTTGAGGACCTCGCCTTCGACTGGTCGACGCTTTGCCAGGAATGTCCCGAATGCTGGACAGCATCAGGTAAGGCTGATAGTTGTAAAATCTTTGGCATTGGGAATTATATGTAAAATGTACCGTTTTCTAATTAACAGCAGTTAATTTGAATTTTAGCAAGTTTCTTTTAGCAAACTACCCACAACTTCACTCAACACCTTTCATATTTAATTGGATGTTTCGAGATCATCTTTTTATGACTCTAACGTGAATTGTGATATCTTGCGCTGAATACTATTACTATGAATGATTTTTTTCACACCTTAATAAAGTAGTTTGGTATAGGAAATATATGTACCTATCTTATCTATTAAAAAATCCGGGTTCTTCATTTTTATATGACCCGTTTGACCCTATTTTATAATTATAGTATCCTACTATCCTTTTCTTTCCCCTTATGATTTCCCTAGATACATATGCAAAAGTGTGTAATTTTATATAAAGAAGTTAAGTTAAATAAATTAAAACAAATAATAAGATATTGCGATTTATTATATAATATTCATTAAAAAATACGATAATTTCTCGCTTCAATAAAGTGGATCTAAAATAAATATAAAAAAAATCTGCAATAGAACTGAAGGCTATTTTATATTAAATACGAAACAGTAAATAGTGTGTATCTTTAAAGCTACAATTTAATTAAAACATTATTTTATTATTCTACATTCCACATTGTTCACAGGCTTTTAGAATTTAACTTAAGCTACACTAGATATTCCAGGTTATCAATTAGCTTAGGCTTAAACACGGTATTTATAGGATTAGCAAAAATTATATTTAATTTATCTATTTTTTTTTAATCTAACCACATGACAGCATATAGAGGTAATAAACGAAATTTTTATGTAAATTACGAACTTTCTTTGAAAGAAGAGTGATAAGAATGGTTACTTTTTACTCATGCACAGACGGTTTTGCAGCCAAGTCTCTGCATCTGCGCTTGTCATACGTTTGCTTAATCACTTGCCAGCGTCCACGGTCACGCTTTCATATACCCAAGACGGAGTATGGTGCATCTCTTAAGATAATTTCAGTGTCGTATTAAAGATTTATTCATCAAGAGAGAATAATTTACATGCAATTAGTTCAGTATAAAAGTAGATTTTTCCAAATTAATTACTATGCTTTTATTATGATATGTAACTTGTTCTCATATT